AGTTTTAATAAGTAGTAGGCATCTTTTCCAATGAATATGATGAAATAAGACAATTTCATCATTCTCCATCTTTTCTGATCATGCTCCAAATTTCCGATCTTTCAATGTGATCGTCGAAAGCTCCAGAATTTGAATATCTCCAACCGCTCTGCCTCATACTCCTTCGTGACGGCAGTGTGATATTGAGAAGTATTCGAATTATTAAGCGAACTAGAAATCCTTGAAATACCACAATATAGGGCGATTAGAACTAAGTGAGCACAAACTAATGTGTTGTATTCAGAATTCAAGATCAGGCACACATCCAGTACAAAAGAATCATCAGCTCATACAACCATTACAGCTTAAATTGCAATCTATGTTTTCGTAGTCAGTTGGACGTCTTTTCCTCAGGTTCACTGTATGTATGTCAGACTGTTTATTGGATACAAGCTCTGGCCATCGCCATACGGCTCATTTTGTTTGGTTTCTCAGTATTTATTAAGGACTAGGAGGGGTGTTGTGAAGACTAGTGATTTCCATTGTTGAAATCATGAGTCAATTGAAGCTAGACCACCATGGAAAACCTGGAAGCACTGAACGGCCATTTCGTTCTAGTATAGGACTCCTCGGCAGTGCGCAACTGATAGGTCTTATGTTCGAATCTCGCGGGGAAGGCGGGATCGTGGATGCGCACTGCTGAGGAGTCCCATACTAGGACAAAATGGCCGACCAGTGCTTCCGGGTTCTTCATGGTAGTCCAGCTTCAATTGACCCATGATTTCTACTATTGAAATTTATTAAGAACGGCAACAATTGCTGTGCTATTGAATTCTATGCTTTGAACGCCTTCTCTCTCTTTGTTTTCTTGAAACTGACACACGTCTTGTGATTCCACATTCCACGCTTATCACAATTTATTTCTCGCTTAACAGGTAAGCAACAATTTTGTTGTCAACACTTATAAATTCAGCCGACAATGTGATCAGTATAATAGTAAATAAAGAATACATAGTCAGTAAATGAAGCGCACAAACATATCGACCAGTATTGCATGCCTTATAGAAATGAATAAAAATGTATACGATAGGATAATAATGTTCTTCGATTAGCAGATCAAATGCAACATGGATAGTATATAGACACATCAGACCAGATTGACGTGGTGGGCGCTTAAACAACGATTTGGTTTGTTAGTTATGGATATAGTTAACAAGTTCTATTCGCTGTAAATTGTAATATTTCTGGAATTCCTAGTCAATACAATAATCCGAATACTTCTGACTATCATACAGACCTTAAGTGGGGGATAGCTTAGACAGCTTTACTGGCCTAAGCTTCCCAAACAGGTGCCGAAACTCCTCGTCGCGTTTCAAAATAACACTGTGGACGAACTGGCTGCATCTGCCTCCCGGATTCTGGAGATCAGCCCGGAGATTTATTCTGTCAGAGAAAAGTCCCAAACAACGGAATACAACGCTACAAACCTCTGTCATACTCTCACTTGTTGTCTCACTTTTCATCATAATCCTAGACGCTCCTGAACTCCTCGAGAAATCCCGTCACTGAAACAAAGCCTGTCTCTAAACGACGAAAGACAAATAATCTTGACTGGTGTTGGTACAATAATAAGTATGGTAGGCTCTCCAGAAATTTCAGAAAAAATTACAGATTCCCAGGTTCCAAACCTTCCGACACGATAAACCTTTCAGTGAAAATCCTACGCCGAAACACGTTTACGGCAACCATGGCCGGAGGATATAGCTGTCCGTTGTACATCACTGACGTGATGGTGAATGTTTACCATGCTGTTGACAATGGAGTTGGAGTAAACGTTTCCCCAACTAATTCTAACGAACGTCACCGCATATGGTAAGCGATATGTTTACCTTAACGTGTGTCTACTCAAACCCATTTACTGGATATCCGTTGTTGTGGGTGTTCCCACGCCAATCATTAATATGGATCTGTTATAACAACATAATCTACTCACTAACGTGCTCAAACAAAGGTTAGTGGATGGAAATACTAAATTATCTGTTTGTGTAAATTCACTTTCTGGTTGTACACTATTCTTGATCGCTTTTAAGCTCATAATTGATTCATACTATCAACGGATACCCAACAAGTACACCGAACTGTACCAAAATCCACCAAAATTACCGTTTGTACCCAGAAGTGTTTTACACCATATCACGACTACATGACCACCTGTCTTCTCGAAAGCGTGCTGACTAGCATCGAAGAAGCTGAGGTCAGTTAAAACTAATTCGACTATACAATATACGCAAGAATTATTCCGCCTTGGAACAGCCAATGTGCATCTCTCTTTCACATGGTTCCTAATAAGAACAATAACAATTGGTGTCTACCTGGGGACTATCGGCGAATGAATGTAAACTCATTCCTGATCATTACCCACTGCCGCACATTCATGATCTGACAGCCACCTTAAAATGCATGACAACTGTTTTTATTCGTGAATCGATTAGGTTATAACACATAGAGCGAATAGATACAACAAATGTCCCCTGAACTCTTACAACTTCAGATGCATGTTTCGACCATGTTCATCTGGATTTGGTAGGACCCTTATCAGGTTCAAATGGATACTCATATCTTTTAACTAATATAAACTGTTTCACTCGATGTTCAGAAGCAGTATCCACCAAGGACATTATTGCTGAAACAGTGGCCCACGTTTTGGTTGAACAATTGGAACTGAACCTTCGCTGCCCTCCAACTATCACCACAGACCGTGGGCGCCGGTCTAAATCTGGACTTGTGCGTTTTCATACTACACTTATAAATCACACGATTCCAACCCACCAGCAATTGGATTAGCAGGACGATTTCACCACAGGGGTGATGGAAAAGTGGGAAAGTGGAAGGGCGAGAAGCAGATCAGACTGTGTTAGTGACTAGCGAAGTTTATACATATATGGTTGTAAGTAGCTGAACATGACGAAATATAATGAATTCATATTATTTCACATCAATGTTTGTTCTGGTTTCATTTAAATCCACAAAATGGAAATAATTCCATTAAAGGAATTTGGATGGACATATTGAAAGAGTGAAAGATTAACTCAGTGTTATTGTGCTCACTTCTCTATATAGACTGTTGTCAAGTCATGTTTTGCTTGTGGTATGATACCAACCGGTACATAATGGCTTCATCTAAGTACGTGCACAAACCTTCTCGGTACAAAAAAATATCTGACAGAAGTTTCAGTTGTCAGTCGCAATTTGTCGAGCTTTATCTACCTTCAGTATCGTCCCTGTCCCAGAAGTCTATTTATAGCGAAGCAAATAATAAGATAACCATAATGTGTAACAGCTTAGAGATTTTAGTTTTCCTTAGTTATAATTATATTTTTGAATAACGTTCACGTAGTTCCATTGGTTATTACGTCCTGGAACACTGTCTGTTTCGATAACGTTCACCATGACATTGGAACTATTTCACACTCAGCAAGTCCACTTTTTCCTTCCAAACGGATATTTAGGTCTTACTGAATCCACGTACCAAGCTAGAAATCAGGTAATTAATTAAAACAAGTCGCACAACATGCGTTTGCTGTGCAATACTATTTTGCCCCAAGTTTTAACTGTTGATGTTCTACTTTACAAAAATGAAAGCATTATGTTACTTTCAGAAAGTACATACTTATTTTTATGAAGACAATTGTTGCATGTTTAACCGGACTGTCATCGTATGTTCACTAAGAAGCTGAGCAAGCGTGTAGATCAGCGTACTGTACCACATGGGGTACTCTTATGTTACTAGTATCCCATTGTATATGTATTCGAGGCATTGCTGGCATATTATAGGACATCCGAGTTAGCAACTGTGCAATTTGACCCAGAATACTCCGTACTTCTGGCATGTTTACGATGGAGATGGTTATGACATGTACTACGCATGTCTATTCACTAACCCACGTGACGCTCCATGATGACTCGTATATGTCGCAAGAAGGCTAGAAGCACATCGATCTTTTTCTATGATACTGTATACAAGGATCTATGTATATGACATGCATCTAAGTAGAATGTCCACGAAAAGAAAAACAGATATAACATGTACCACTTCTAAGTGTCACTTATTACGCGTAAACTAGATGTCAAGAAGCTCGTACCTCACAGATTCCTTACAACAGTTTTGATGAAAGGACTTGGTTATTACTAACGGTCTGAATAGTGGCTAGCATCCTGGATTTTACTGCTAGCCACTATCCATCTTTGCTTATATAGCTTGTGAAATAAGGCAATATCGAGGCAATACACAGAGTATGCACATATACCAATAACAGACTGATTGATTGCAGACTTAAACCTCAATGGGAAGATTCAAGCAAAGCAACACCAAGTGAAATTAAATTGACCCCATTGCACAAACAAGTGGCTATCAGGACTCAGTAGCTAAGTGGATAACGCGAACGGCACTTGGTTCGAGTCCCAGAGTGGACATCAACTCTGAGATGCAGGTACATCCAGCTGAAGAGTCCCAAATAGGACGAAACGTCCTGGATTCCACTGCTAGCCACTTCTCAATATATATTTAAGATCATAATTCTTGACAATTAGTGTAAATATTTCATTCCTACTAGGAGTTATGGAAAGACTAGCTTGTTGGTGACAAGAAGTTCAATAATTCCCAGTTATATCAATACTGTAAAAACTCCTTGTTGATAAGTGCAAAACCTAAGTTTGGAACATTTCGTCTACGTATGATTGAAAAAGTGAACGAGCGCATCGACCCTTGAGAACTGAGAGATCTGATAAAAAGTTGAAAATAAGTAGAACAATATATTTGACAATAAGGAAGTGAGTAATCACTTTCACGCACTATTTCCAATTCATTTTGACGATAATCTAATTTAAATGATTAAAACAGCTCATAAAAAACCGGACGACAGGCAGAAATAAATTAAATATCTGAATGTAGAAGTTATTTCATGTGGAATCAAATTAAAAACCAAAGGTTAAATAAATGTACACGTATATTGTAGCAATTTTTAAAATCGGACATTTTTTCCTACTGGACCACTATCTTCAGCTAATTGTTTACGCTTTTGTATGATTGATTGTATTTTTTGTAATTGACGATCTAATTCAGCTTTTTCATCTTTCGGTCCAATACGACGTGTACGACGACCATCAGCCATTTTAACACCATATTGAAATGCAGCTTTTGGTAAAGCTTCTTTATTCGACATATAATCACTATATTCTTCCTGTGTTTCAAAGTCCCATCGACCAACTGGACCTTTTTTATTACCTAAATCCATTTTGCTAAAATCAGCTTCATCATCAGAATCACCCATAGCATCGTATGATTCAGCGAAACCAGGATAACATTCATCGTAACACGTGACTTGAGTTTTAGCAAAGAATCGTTCAAGACTTGCCTAAAAAATAGGTACATCAAAAAAGGACATAATTGTGCAATCATGAGTTGTGGCTTCCAAACAGGATAGATTCATTATATTTGTTAATTAATATCTTCTTTCTTACATCACCTTCGTCCTGAATAGAACGAAGCGCTCGTGCTGGACTCCATTATTAGCTACTGTTCGACCATAATAAGAACTCGTGACTAAATAACATTATCGATTCGATCTGCTCAGGATGCACACATCCCACGTAGAAACTGACCAGCTGTGGTCGTTAATACTAATAACATAAAAATAAATAACACTCATAAGTTAGCTTACATAGTTCACAACTGATCATCTTCGTTGCACACACAGATTTTAACTATCCGCAATGTCGTTTTACCGATTTCTTAAATGATAGGTGTTGTATATATATGGTCTGGAGGCTAGACCTTCACACGCGATACCGAAGGTCCTGGGGTCTGACTGCCGGACACCCCGTGAATATGCACCGCTGAGTCCCATAACAAGCTGAAACAGCTATCCAGTGCTTTCAGGTTTTCAATGATGCTTTAGCTAAGACCAGTTCGTGATTTAAACTTTGAGAACTCAACAATCCCTTCAAATCCGCCACACTAATATATATAACCATAAAGTGAAGCATACATACTCTTATATTCAAAATAAACTGCACTTACCGTAAAAAGATTGTTGAGAAGGTTGAAAGTTACAAGAAAATTACGGGTGGAATTACCAAATAAGGTTTATAGTAAGACAAATTAATTTAAATTATTTAAGAAAACAACTTCAAACATAAATATACGAGCGAGGAATCCTCTTTTCCATGATCTTTCTTCGGGTCCAACAATTACATATCCAAATTAATAATCCAAACAATTGGCTAGGTTTAAGGCTGAGTATGTCATTTAAAAATATATCATGAGGATTTAGGGCTTTTGGCAAATATAAAAATAAAATCGTTCATTTTGAAGTACTTACTTACGACTGTTACTCCTCGTGGAGGAGCATAGGCCGAACATCAGCACTCTCCATCCGACCCTGTCCTGGACACTCATTGCGTGGACAACTATTTATAAATACTTGTACCTTCTTAATGATGGTTTTAGTAGTTCTCCAGGTTTCAGCTCCGTACTGTAGGACTGTCTTGACGTTCATATTGAAGATTGTGACTTTGATATTGGTTGACAGTTGTTTTGAGTTATGTATGTTCTTCAATTGTAGAAATGCGACCCTTGCTTTGCCAATCCTCACCTTTACGTCTTCATCTGATCCTCCTGGTTTGCCGATGATGCTTTCCAGGTGTGTGAAAGATTACACATCTTGCAGAGTTTCCCCATCAAGTGTGACTGGGCTGGTATTCTCTATGTTGTATTTGAGGGTCTTGCTTTTTCCTTTGTGTATGTTGAGGCCTACTGATGCAGAGGCTGCTGCTACACTAATTGTCTTTATCTGTATTTGTTCGTATGTGTGGGATAGAGGGGTTAGGTCATCTATGAAGTCCAAATCTTCCGATTGATTCCGAGCTGTCCATTGTATTCCGTGCTTTCGCTCAGGTGTCGAGGTCTACATAATCCAGTCGACCACCAGAAAAAAGAGCAAGGGAGGGAGTAAACAGCCTTCTTTGACTCCGGTCCTCACTTGGAATGCATCTGTCAGCTGTCCTTCATGCACGACTTTGCAGTGTAGTCAGTCGTATGAGTTCCGGATAATGTTGACAATCTTAACAGGAACTCCATAGTGTCGAAGAAGTTTCCATAATATTCTGTCCACAATGTCAAACGCCTTCTCATAGTCAATGAAATTGATGTATAGTGATGGGTTCCATTCAACTGATTGTTCAACGATGATTCGTTGGTCTGTCTGATAGTCATCCTGATTTCTTCGATCGTTGGTGGAGTGACATCTATAGGAAGGTCTGTAGGTGCTGCTTCGATGTTCGATGGATCTAATGGAGCATGTATACTCGAGAGTTCTTCTAAGTATTTTACGCATCTGTTCCGCTGTTCTTGAATTTCAGTGATTGACCTGTCTTCGTTGTCCTTGGCCAGTCTCTTTGGTTTCTTATATCTCCCTGCTAGTTTCTTCGTTGGATCATATAGTTGTTTCATATTTCCTTCTCTTGCGACCTTTTCCTGTATCGTTGCTAGTTCTTCCAGATATTTCTGCTTGTCACTTTAATGCTCTTCTCCACTTTCTTGATTCCTTCTATGTACTCGGTTTGTGCCTTGAGTTTCTCTGCTCGTGTTCTGCTGTTGTTAATTGCTGTCTTCTTGTTCTTCCTTTCTTTGATCTTGTCCAGGATTTCTACAGAGATCCATTCCTTATGATGATGCTTCTTGCGGCTCAGAACCGCCTGACACATTGAAGTTAATGCTTTTTTGATACCTTCCCAGTTGTCCTCCATAATTGTTTCTTCTTTCTTCAGTAGATCCTGTAGGGTTTGGAACCTGTTTTTGAGATTTATCTTGAATTCTCTGAGTTTGTTAGCATCTCGAAGCCTGTATTGAACCTTTGAGATGCTGTTCCCCTAGTTGTCCAGTGTTTCCTTAGCTTCAGTTTCATCTTGGCCACAACCAGATGGTGATCTGAAGCTATGTCAGCTCTTCTCCTAGTTCTTACATCTTCCATTGTCCTTCTGAATCTCTTATTGATATTATCTATCTGGTTCTTTGTGGTGTGGTCCGGTGAGATCCATATAGCTTTGTGTATGTGTTTGTGTGGAAATATTGTGCCGCCCTTTAACCAATTTGTTGAATGCGCATACATTTACAAATCTCTCTCCATTTTTGTTTCTCTCTCCCAGTCCATGTCGTCCCACGATATCTTCATATTCGGTGTTGCTTATTCCGATTTTGGCGTTTAGATCTCCCATCACAATAGTGAGGTCATTTCTTGCGCACTTTGCTATGATTGATTGCAGCTTCTCATACAATTGGTCTTTATCGTCGTCGTTGCTATCATTGGTGGGTGCATAACATTGGATAAGATTCATTGTAATCCCCTCCTTCTTTGTTTTGAATGATGCTTTGATGATTCTGGATCCGTGAGATTCCCATCCTACAAGTGCGTTACGTGCTTCTTTGGACAGCATCAGAGCAACTTCCTGAATGTGCAAAGCATTTTCCTCTTCGTGACCGGAGTACAGTAGCATCTCTCCCGTATATAGCTTTAGCTGTCCAGCTTGGGTCCAATGGGTTTCTCTGATTTTGAGTACCGCCAACTTGTATCTTCTGATTTCTGTTGCTATTTGACTGGTCTTCCCGTTCTACTGCATTGTCGGTACGTTCCATGTACGTACAAAAATTGTTGCTCTGGTTGTTAGAAGGGACATCGGCCTCGTGACTTCCGGAGAATCTCGGCTTTCAACCTGAGGCGTCATAATTCTCCCTTCAACTCCCAGGGCAGAGTTTAAATGGTTTAGTTTGTTTATTCTGGTTGGCGTTTTTTAGTCAGATATGAGATGTTATATGAGGATATCAATGATGGTAAGGTCTGAACCTATTGATAAACACTTTAATTAATTTCTAATATAGCTGTTTTGACGGTAGTCCCAAATAGTTCGTGTTTTCCCCGTTAAGGACCCTAATTGATCAATATGTACTAGATTGTGTGTCGAATGAATTGTGCCAATGTTATTACTTAGTCAGTTATCCATCACAAACGATTAATGAAGGTTGCGCAATATCATAAATTCATTGGAATTAAATGCTAATACTACAGGATGCCAGATCAATGATCTATGAGTTTAGCGTTCACGTACGAAGCTGAGGTCATAGGTTCGATTTCCAGATACGAACTGCTGAGGACTCCTACACTAGGACAAAATTATCATCCCGTACTTCCGGGTTCTGTTTATGAGCAAAATACTCTTGTTAGTGATGCCCCAATCATTATGCTTATTACAGCTCTATGAGAAGTTAAAATATCGCCGTAAACTTTCTCTTCATCAACCGGTTCGAAACTAGTTATTCAAGTGAATACATTCTTTTCCACGAATTAATCACCACATTATATAATCTCCGATTGGAACGATGAATAGGTATACAATCTGATTAGTTAATATTGTACATACTAGTACTAGGGGAGTGGACCCCTAAGAAAACAATCTGCTTCGGTTTTGACGCCCGAATAGTATCCCGGCCCTCACACAAATCAAATTATTTGTGTGGCGCAAATATATTTAGTGCCTTCTTGTACCAATGTTTATGTGTTTAAATAAATTAATGAAATCGACTGCGTAGTCTAATTTACTTGAGTCCTACGTAAGATTTATTTACTCATTTATAAATAAATACATATATAAATATAACCTACTTTTTCCTGTAGCCTATTTTCATCTTTAACATCAAAACGTTGACTTAATTCATTCAAAAATTCTTTGGTAGCACTTATTGAATTATTTGTGACTGAATCAGCATTGGCGGGAATATCGAAGTATGATGCTTGTGCATTATTTGATTCAGTATTGGTGTTACTATTACTACCAGATGTAGTAGTACTAGGAGCGGGTAGACGACTACGTTGATTTGACACTCTAGAATCATCATATGGTAAATCCATCCTATCGTTACTTTTGCATTGCTTCTTTGTTGTCGGTAAGTAATCGCTTCCGATACCTTCAAATATGGCAGTATCTGTTATCAAGTAAAAAAGACAAGTCCAATTAGGTAACAAAAAGATATACATTTTACGTGTAGAAAAGTGTGGTAAAAGCAAACTACAATACTGACAACCTTTAGTGAAATAATGTTAGGTTATATAAAGATATGTAACAAAAAATAATAAACCTCAACAAATAAAGTTTCCACATGATTAATGAACGTTATTACACTGGGTCAATCAAGAATCGGTCAAATGATAAATGCAAAGGATTGACCAAGAAATGGGTTATATACTCTAGGAATGGGACCTACACTGTCATTGACTTTTTATATATGAGCAAATATACAGCGCGATTTACTTAGTCAATAAAATTACTATCTCAGTTTTGTTAATGTTAACCTAATAGTATAAAATCTTGGACACCAAACATCTTAACAAACGTTTACATGTTTACTGTTATGTACTCCCTCTATACACTAGTTCAACCCGCTATTCGAGCAAACAAAACTGAGATAGGAATTTTATTGACTAAGTAAATCGCGCTGTATATGTGCTCATATATAAAAAGTCAATGACAGTGTAGGTCCCATTCCTAGAGTATATAACCCAGGTTAACATTAAATGTACGGCCATTTTTTTATTTTTTTTTCGAGTGAAATTTTTTTTCGTCCCATTCGAAAAAATTTTTCATCCCAATCTTCCAATAATTTTCATTCTGTTTCCTCCAATCAAATAGCTAGTTCTAAGTTCGTCATAATTGGTCGTTTATTCCTTAAAATTGATATAAAATGTCAGGACCTGACGACAGAGCGCGTTTTCTTCCAATTACGGACGGTAGTAAGGTGCAAAACACGAGCTCTGTCGTTTCTCACGTTGTCACAGATACCGATAACCTATTCTTCAGCACATTGTATCTCGTAGCATTCCAATCACTTGAAGCGTTGAAGAACGCCGTTAGAACTTATGAAAGAGCTACATACTGCCATTATGCGGTGATTCTCATTTCCATAGAGATCGAATGCCGTATATTAAATTCGTATGTTGGAGAAATGGCCGTAGAACACCTAGCGGTTCCTCACAGCCGAGTAGACGAATCAGGAAATTTGATTAGTGTTATTATCAATCGAACTTTTAGGAATTAGGCAAATATAATTTTCATTTAGTTCCGAATAAGACACATGTTATCATCTTTTAATGAGCTTTGAATTGCGAGCACAAATCTGGGAGGGGCTATATTATATGTAATCGGTTCACTCAATCATAACTAATATATATATATATATATATATATATATATATATATATATATATATCAAAAGTTTTGCTAAAATGACTATACATAATTATTGGTTAGTTAAAACAAAGCTGATTGACATATGTGATTATGTAAATGTGTGAAAAAAACAAAGTAAACAATAGTATAGGTCATTATGATGAACAAGAAATGTAAAAATATGGTAAACAAAAAACTTCCACTAGTTAATATATAACCGTCAGAGTCTAAATGGTGGGTTGATATTAGTTGAGCAACCATTGAAAACCAGGAGACAAAGGACAAGGTGTGGCACTCCTCATTAGTGTGCGTTAATGTCCCCACTGAGAATCAAACTCAGAAACCGAGACTAGTGGAGCACAACTGTGTCGGACGTGAGTAATAGTTATACACCGCCTAATATCACGAATTAATCGAAATTAGATGTACACACCGCTGGATGCCGGCTCAGTGGTTTGGGCGAGACCTGAAGGTTCGAAAGCTCAATCTCCGGTGGGGTCGCGGATGTACATTACTGAGAAGTCCCATACTGGGCCGAAACAGAAGCTCAGTGCCTCTTAGTCTATGATCATTTAGCTATGCTCAGTCAGTAATATCTTAGTGGCTTGGCTTAGAGATAATTCATCAAGCCTAGTTTATCAATCACCCCGATAACCTTTATTAAATATATCCCGATAGCGTACAAATTCAGAAGGCAACACGATGAGCCGACTACAGTTTATTATTGGATAGCACATATTACAATGCAAACAAAGTGAATTTGAGCAGAAAGGCTGATGCGCACAAACAAGCGAATACATAGGCGGATTCCGAGTCAAATCGAATCGAAGCGAATCAATTAATAAGACTCAAGCACACATATATGTAGGGAAGCAAGTGACTCATTGAGCAACTTTTAAGCAACTAACATTTAAGGCGTAGTGAAGACTATGCGCGTAAGCAGTTATACGTTATCAAGCATACATGCTTATACAGACATGATAATAATAATACAAAGGAATTGACAAATTCTGACCGTTCGAATAACACTGTCTGTTGAATAAGTTAACTGAAGTACTAGATAAAATTACCCGTAAACAAACCCAATTGTACGACAGGTGCTATAATGCAAACTATGAAATTAACAATCTCCACAATTCCTTTAAACTTATGATATATAATACTTTGGAACAACTTGATTAAAGTGACTTTCAACAATTGCATTACTAAACTTTCGTGTCAGTTTATATTAAAAGACAGGGAAACGATGCATTTAAATATTTAACTCGTAGGTTAATTGGTTAAATGTAATTTAACTGTAACTGACTCCAAATACAAATACTCCAAATTAACAGGAATTAGTTCATTCGATAAATTTAGATGGTGTAATAAGAAGGCGAAGATTATCCAATTGTCCAGTTGACGTTTTATTTTCATGTATAGTTGTTCTTATTATTTATTTATTTGAACACATAAATATTGGTACAAGGGGGGCACCAAATACATATGCGCCACACAAAACAATGATAATTTGAAGAGAAGGAGAAAAGAAAAAAAATGTAATGAACGTGGGGAATTATAAAAAAAAAAGAGAGAGAACAATGGTGGAGGAAACGGAAAGGTACAATCAGAAGAGATCTTTCAGTTAAGGAAGATACAACCACTTTTTATGAAGAAAGTAAGAGGTTACAGCACGATCGCCACTGGCTTCTATTTTGAGCCATATCTGATAACGTCTCTAGCCACTGCGTTACACCGTCTCTCGGACTCCAACCAGGGAGTCGTGAAGGTCCAACAGAGGCTAGCCCTTTGCAGCTTTCTTTCATACCACGACACCATGTCATATACTGACCACCTCTCCGCTTTTTCCAACCAGTCCCAGAGTCGGCAAATAATGCACGACGTGGAATTCTCTGGGACGACATTCGTAGAACATGTCCAAGCCACCGAAGTCGGTGTTTCAAGATGGTGACACCAATTTCATTATCGTCTCTGTGACCGAACACTCGATGCCGAACCTCTGCATTACTGACATGGTGTTGCCACTGGATGCCAGCAATCCTTCGGAGACAACGATGATCGAACACAGAGAGTCGTCTAACATCCTCAACTAGGAAAGGTCAGGTTTCACAAGCATAGAGCAAAACTGCTCTCACCGTCGCGTTGTAGATCCGACCTTTTACAGCCAAACTAACATCACGAAGGCGCCAAAGATGGCCCAGATTGGCATAAGCCGCTCTGGCTTTCAATATACGTGCATTGATCTCATCACTCACACCACCACCAGCACTTATGCAGCTACCTAGATACAAGAACTTCTCGACTACTTCTATCTGCTCACCATCCAGAGTGTGTACAGAATCGGAACCCTGCCAGTCTTGTAGAAGGACTTTGCACTTCGAAGGTGCAAAGCACATACCATACCTACGGACACTGATTGCCAACTGATTAAGTGCGGATTGCATGGCTTGGGCATTCTCGCACAGTAAGACATCATCCGCATACTCAAGGTCAAGAAGTCTTTCTCCAGGCAACAGATCCACACCACCATTACTTACATCCGTCAGAGCTGTTTCCAGAATGTCATCGATGGCAAAGTTGAAGAGGAATGGTGAGATTGGGCAACCTTGCCTAACTCCACTGCTCGAAAGGAATAGTGGAGAAAGGTGATTGTTTGCCCTCACTCTGCCTGAGGTGTTTGTGTATAGGGCTTTTAGGATGTTAATAAACTTCTCAGGCACACCCTTCTTCAATACACAATCCCAGAGAACAGTTCTGTCCAACGAATCGAAGGCAGCCCTGATATCAAGAAACACTACGATTGTTGGCCTTTGATAAGTATGGCAGTGTTCTAACACTTGGCGGAGGGTGAAGATATGATCAATACATCCTCGACCGGAACGAAAACCCAGCCTGCTCCTCGCGAGTCACTCCTTCTCGGGTCCTGAACAATCTACGAAGTATGACAGAAGCCAATAGCTTGGACGCAATCGGAAGTAGACTTATCCCCCGATATTTGTCACAGGAACGACGTGAACCCTTTTAAAAGATAGGGACAACTATCGACTCATTCCATGACGTTGATACACTCTCTAGTTCCCAGACCTTTGCAAACGTCGTCAGCTCCTTAGTCAGAAAGTCACCACTATCTTTAAAAAGAGCCGGAGGTAAGTCGTCTGGGCCCGGTGATTTGTAACGTTTCAAGAGTTGGAGTTTCTTGAGGACTTCCGCCTCATTTGGTGGATCAGTCGTCACCGGCTATGGAGGGCAGGACAGTCTGACGGACGCTGCCAGAGCAGCAGGCCAGTTGAACTGCCCTCCGAAAAATTCTGCCCACCGTCCAAGACGTTCCGTCATCCTCGCAGATTGGTTCGCTCACACCAAACTTCTTGCTGCCAGTGGCTCGGATGAGTTGGAAGAGCTTCCGGTAATTACCAGATGCAGCTGCTGCTTCCAACTCACTGGCACGCTCCGACCACCAGGCTTCTCGGTCCTTACGCAAGCTTTGCCCGATTTCATTACGTAACATCCTTCGTCTGTGGTCAAACTCACGGTCACCCGGAGTAGACCGACGGGCTTCAATCAGTTGTAAGGAACCAGAAGAAACCCAGTGCTTGTAAGCGGGACGTTTCGCAAACCCACAACAGACTGTACCCGCCATTTTCATGGCGTCATGCAATTGCAACCAATGCTCATCTATACTTTTCGGTGGAATGGTAGCTAGCCTAGAAGCTAGCTCGGTTCGGTACTTACTAGCAACAGAAGTTGCAGCCAGCTTGC